GGGGAGGGAGGGAGGGAGGGAAAGAGAAATTCTTTTCTTTTCATATATATATATGGTATATATGGTATTCAGCTTTGTTTGGGTATTTTTCCACGTCATTATAGTTGTGCTTTTAAAGTTGTAGCAACGTTTCGGGAGAATCTCATCTGCCATTATCAGGCTTCTGTATTGTGTTCGTTGCTACAACTTTAAAAGCACAACTATAATGACGTGGGAAAATACCCAAACAAAGCTGAGTAACATACATGTAAGTATAAAGGAGAAGTAACCAAGCCAGGACTGCTGGGGCTTTCATGACTCCCAGCCTGCTGACAGCAGCCATGACTGCAAGCCCTGCTGCAGCACAAATTTCCATCCATCTGAACTTCTTTCTCAACAGTTCTATGGAAATAAGGACCTTCTACTCAGTGGGGTCGTCCCATCCGGCTAGCCATCTCACTTTCCATTTGCCACTGACCACATTGATCCCAGAAGGGAGAAGAAGGTCTTTGGCCTCCACTGCCTTGCCCACATTTGTTGCCCAGTGGGTCTTCGGCTCTTGATATGGGGTGTCCCTCACGTGCTTTGGACTTGGCTGGCTGCTCAGACTTCTCAGTCTTTGGTTTTGGACACACACCATCTGGATACTCTCCTGAATTGGTGCTGGCTCTTCCTCTGCGGGGCCTCAAACTTCTCTGAATCTTTGCTCATAGCCAGCATCTTGGGGCTGACCTCCTGGCTTACTTGCATTCCTCATTTCTTTCCCAAACCTTCCTTACATTCCAATTCCTTCCCTATCCCCTCATTACAGTTGTCTGGTTGCAAGCGAAGGTGTGTAATGAATTAACCATGGCAAGTAACCAGTAATGAAATGTCATTTCAGATGTCTTCTGAATCATTGTTTTCAAAGCCTTTGGATCAGTTCTTGAACCTTCACTAACAATTACCATGTTTAGATACGTGATATCTCTTTTTAAATACTTACTCATTTGTATATTTTAACTAGTGCATTTTTTCTGATGTATCACAAGAGACTGATTTATTTTTTTTCTGTTAGCTGCTACCTTAACTCTTAATGGTTCAAGGAGCCAAATTTAATCTTTAGTTGATATTTTAGAATGTGGGAAATTGCTTTGGCTGAATTTTTTTAAAAATGGGGAAATGGTAATATTGGTATGTGTACAAGCCTGAGCTACAGATATTCTCTTCTATCAGCATTGGATATGTTATTCATTTTATTAATAATGCTTTTTCTAGGAATTGATTCTCATTAATTTTGGATATAGATATCGAATATGGATATTTTAATTGTTTGTATTTCTAAAGAACAAACGTGTATGTTTGGATTTGTATTCCGAATTAATATTTCTGAGCATTCTTTGTGTGTGTGTGTGTGCATATGTGTTCTACCCATCCCAGGTTGACTAAACGAATAAATAATTTATCCTTAATAGCATAAATAAATAAAGCTACCCTCTGCAATTCCAAGTATGGATCAGGAAATATTTGAATAGGGCAATGTGAATTTATGCATGCACATTCTGAAATAAACACTATTGAATTTAAGAATAGTGAATCCACCTCAGTTGACATTTTTTATTAGACAGTTTAATCAATCAATACAATTATCATCATGACTTAGCAATAATAAATGGCTTTAAGTGAATACATTTAGATTTCCAGCCCAACTTTCCAAAACTGCCCTACCCGAGCCAAGGATGACCTTAAAGTAGAAGAGGGAATAAAGAAAGATAATATTGAAGAAATGATGAGATAGAATAATTAAAGAAGGCATGCTAAAGGATGGACAAAATAAAATAATCACAAAAATTAAAATAATGTCAAAGAAACTGGTGTATAACAGTACAGTTATCTTGCATTGAGTTATCCCACATTGAATTGTCCCATTGTGAGTTGTCCCGCTAGGGTGAGATGGCCAAGGTGAGTCAGCCAGGACAAGTTGTCTTAGACCGGGATAGCAATGAAGATTATGGAAATGATAGTCAGATGCCCCAATGTATCTTTTTTAACAAAGATCAGAACAGCAAAAGAAGTAGTTTTCCCTGTGACACTCTATCAATGTGAAAGTTGAACTTCAAACAAAGAATAGAAAAAAGACTGGCATTTTTGAACTTTGCTTTTTGAGACGACTCTTGAAAATACCCTGAATAATAAAATAAAAAATACAAAAATAAAAAATAAACAAATTGATCCTAGGACAAATCAATTCAGAGGACAACCAAGAGCAAGATAGTTGGACTTAATTACAATGGTGAAGGATTCACAGTTGGAGGATGTAAAGGCCAAGGCTTGGGACAGATCATCCTTGAAAATGTCAGTCTGTGTGCTCTTTAAGAGTTAACACTGACTTGATGACACATAAATCATTAAAATATAGGTATGGTTTGCTTAAGGTGGTTATGCAATTATATATGTGCCTATATATGAAAGAATGTTATTTCCCAAGGAGAAAAGTAGCAAGTGTGCATGCAAAATCTACAAAATAATTTGTGAAGGATGCCCAGTAAAGTGTTTGCAATATTTTGAATGAAAAAGTTTAAGAGGTGATGCAGAGGCATATATGTGAAGTGTGGCATTATTCTGGACAGGGACCGTACAGATCAGATTTTGTTTTTATAAAATTATATTAATATTTTCTTCCAGCTTGTATAGTATAGTATAGTATAGTATAGTATAGTATAGTATAGTATAGT